GCATTCCTCTTCTCTTCAAGACCTGTAGAGATAATCTCCAAAGAATTTTTAAATCTTCAGGCACAAATTAAAATAGAAGTCAGAACTGGTATCAGAATTTAGGATATTCAGATTCTGAGGCCAAACTACATCTCTCTGTCTGAGACCGCACGGGATGTTTGAAGCTAGAATTGCTTCTAAATTGAATGACTGTAACAGATTCCCATGAATGTCAGCAGCTTTTTAGCTGCATGACTGCTGCTGAACTTTTCTGGTGTACCCCAGTGGCTGTACTTCGGAGAATAACAGGTATAGTCTATCATTGCACTGAATTCAACAGAATATTAATGAACATTGTCAGCAAACAGTAACAAAGGGATAGAGATGTGAGATCCTTTTGTAAGAGAATTATTTCTTTTTTTCTGACTCTGCTTAATGAAAATCCTTGTCTCATATTTCTCCATATTCACTTGTCAGTGATGTGTTTGGTAGTTCACTGCCTGCATGCTACTTGACTATGCCCAAATTATGGTTTCTGTTTCATGCTTCTCAGGTGAGCCAGAGCTAGTTCATAGCATGTATGATTTACAAATTATATTTTTGAGGACTTCACTGCTTGCTTTAGCCAGTTAATCCCATGGCACCTTTCCCCAGAATAGCCTTAATTAAAGGGCATTATCAATTTACAACGCACTTTAGTGACAGGATCACAACCTGTAGAGTTTTCTATTTCGTAAACTACATTCTGCCTTTATACTTCCAGTTTAATAAAATATGTATCCTTTGAAAGGGAAAGGAGGCAAAAGCGAAGGGGCCAGGAGCCGTAAACTATCTTTTATGACTCTCTGGAACAGAAAATTTTTTTATAATTGTAGCATAAAAATCTGGTTTGTGAATATGCTCATCTGGATCCCTGGGACAGAAGTATTCTTCCAGTGCATCCTTCCAACAGCCAAATTTGTATCTATTTTAAAACTCCATTAAAGTGTAACACCAGCAAACTAAAAGGATCTATTCGCTGCTACATAGAGCAGGTCTTACTGCATTTCACAGGATGTTATTCAGTTAAGTGAACTGCATGAGAATAAAAAACAAGTTTGTGTCCAGCACAATCGGTAGATCATTTGGCCATTAGACGGGTTTCTCCAAACCTTGTGTAAGCAGAGCAAACAATAATTATTGCCAGTGTTTTCAGTGGGCAGAAGTCACTGTGAAGTTGTGCCTGAATTTCCTGATTTCTCCAAGCCATTTCCTTCCTTGGAGCTTATGGAGGCTAGCACTACTGCCAGCTGTGGTAGGATGACCCCAGATTAATTTTTTTTTTTTTTTTTTTTTTTTTTTCAGAAGACCCCAGTTGCCATTGTATTTCTTTACATAATGACTTCGGCTTTAGGAGCCTGTGTGAATTTTACTCTAGAGATTGATCCTGTTGAGCAATTGTAGCTGTAACTCCCTCAGTTGTTTGCTGAGCAAGGAGACACTATGGTTATAAGAAGATCACAACTATCAGCCCTGCTTTACTATTTTTATGAGCATTAATGGAGCAAGGTTTGGGGACTGAAGGAGAAAATGGAATATGAAAAGGAAAATGAAAAGAGGCTGTGAGGAAAGCATGTCATTTCTAAATGAATGCTCTGTGCAGAGGAATTGGATCTTTTCACAGCAGAAAATGGATCTTAAATCTGATGCCTTAGCTTGTTTCAGCTTCTGTAATGAAATAGACTTTTCCTAATACCCTGTGACCTGAATTTCTCCCTGCTTTATGGGTGCTATTCCTTGACGTACAAGCCTGTATTTTCTCAAGTCAGCATTTGATGATGGATGTCAAAATACAGGTCATGTATTATGCATATAGCATTACCGATTTAAGGTGTTTACTTGTCAAGTTGAAGAAATTCAAAAATGTCACATTCACTGAATCTGCACAGCTGTCACTTGTAGTTTTTCATGCCTTTAAATGAAAGTTCTGATAAAGCAGGTTAGTTTTCCTGCACTTTTTTTTCCTTCTAGAGGGAAAAAAAATTAGAAACCCTATCCGTAGAGTTTAGCTTATGACTTGGGAGCAGGAGTGTGGCCTGAATGTGGCTGATGCCATGACTCTAAATATAGGCACACAAAATCTTTAATAATTCCAATTCTTCTTTTTTTGAAAATATTCCAATAGTTGTATATTTTTCAGAAGTCGATTTGTAGAGGTGCCTGAATTAATCCCAGACTGGGAAATTAAATTAAAATAGCAGATATTTCTTATATCTTCCCAGATCATAAAATGAGAAATATTTAGTCATGAGTCTGTTTTTCATTCAAGGAGAAAAAAATACCCTTTAACATGCTTCTTGCATTTCAGACTGAATACACTGAGTGCAGTGTGCAATTACAGAGCTCCTGACAGTCTGTGTCTAACAGAAATGCCAGATTTACTTCAATCTTCTAACACTTCTAGACATTTGTCTAGGAAGACAAATATTTGAAGGGTTAGAGAGAGGTGGATGCAAACAGCCATGTATGGAGAATGTGTGTGTGTGCACATGGGTGCATGCCTGCATGTGTGTACACTGCAGTAGGAGGAGGGTAAGAAGAATTTACACATTTAGAAGCATTTATGCCAACTTTCTTCAATTTGTTTTTAGCTGATTGGGAAATATTGATGTGCTCATCATCTGGAGAGTCTGATTCAGTGAAAGATGTTTTAGATAATGCATCCTGAGATAGGGAGAGGAAGCCATCAGGAAAAAGAGGGCAGCAGTTCCTTCATGGCTGGCCCCAGAAGTACTGTTCTAGGGTGCTTGGGTTAGTGGACATCTTGCTGACCTGCCACAGCTGGTATCTGCCAGGGGTAGTCTCCGGGCAGACTCTATACCAGCTGACCACCATCAGTAATAAGATCTTGGTGGAGACTGACCGACCAGCCACCCTGGTAATATGAGTACCTCTCTATTAAACTGATGAATGTTAGCTTGCTTCTGTGTACTTTCTTTGAGAATGGTAAACCTTGTGCAGAAGCACTGGAGATTTTGTATAACATTCTCTCCTTACAGACCTCATGCTGTAAATAGGAAATTCATATTGGCATCTTTTGGAGGGCTAAGTCTTTTAGTGATTCTAGTTTTATTAGTTATCTATTATATATTTCATATAGACAGGATTTAGGGAGAAATAAACTGAACATCAAATAAAAACTTCCATTACATCAAGAAGTCTAGATCAAGCGATCTTTATAGTTTGACTTGTTTAGAGACAATTTTAATAGTGAAGGTAATTGCCACTGGAAAAGAATTGAAAATTCTTCACAAAAACCAATATAGAGCCAGTACTACATGTTAAAAAATACAGTTAAGTTTAGAGATTTTCTGGTTTGCAAAGTAGCTGAAGAATGAACTATATCATCTTGTTTTGAGTTCAGTAGCAGATGACTGTACCAACAAGTTTAACTGAGGGAAGAAGTTTCCACACTGCAAGAAAACAATGAAGTTACATCAGGAATTTTTCTGTGATTAATTTAGAATTGGCATAAGAAAAAAATCAAAATTATTTCAGGTCAGTAATGAGAGAGACAGAAATCTGTCCCTGGGCTGAAGTCAAGGAACTCAGGCAAAATGCAGTTTTTTTTTAAAAAAAAAAAAAGATTTCTCAGAAATGTGTATTTTAAAGCAAATGTGGCCTATTCTTATTCCTAGCTCACAAATATTTGCTTAAAAACACTTTTTTGACAGTGGTCTTAAATGAAGTCCTAAATTCAAACTCAGGGTTCATCATCACCTCTGCAATGATATTATGAGATGAGCATTTCTGTGCTTTCTGCAGCTTTAATAAATGACAAACTGTGAATTTCTAGACTAACTGTTGCATAAAGTTTTGTATAACCACCAATATTCAACCATTTACAATCCAACCGTAGGTTTTTTTTTGTTTGTTTGTTTTGGTTTGTTTTTTTTTGCAATTTAAAAAAAAGAAAAGAAAAAAAGCTTAGTTCCAAGAGCTTAATTTCAAACTGTGCAGAGAATAAGGCTGAAAACATAAAGATTATCAGTTCACTAGAGATAAGCCTTGCTGCTTTCCAGATCTTTTCTCCTTTGAGTGCCTCTTGATGTCTTTTCTTTCCTACCTTCTTATACATCCCCAAAGGTGTAAGCCTCTTTCTAGTTTCTTTTCATGCATCACTTTTCCATAACATTTGAAAATCTGTGTCTTTTTCCTTCCATCTTTTCTATTTTTTGTTAGAATGTACCCTTCCATCTCAGTATTTCTGTAACTGTAATCTTCATAAATGTTCATATGCAATGTATGTCTGAAAGGCAAAATACTGTTGGTTTTACTGCTCCTGAAAAACAGCAAATCCTAAATCCTACATGTTGATCAAACATCAGACTTACTAAAGGAAACACTTAGCTACTGGGGTTGAACTACTGTTTTAGAAACAGAACACTATAATTTTAATTCAGATTTGAGGAAGAATACTTGTTTCAGGATTACTTGAAATAATGTGGTTTAACTTGTCAGGTAGCCATGAAAATTAACTATCCCATTCAAAATAAATACAAGTGCTAAAAGGAGAAGAAAAATAAACCTCTCTAAAATTGAAGTTGCTTTTTGTGTGTGTGTGTTTATTATTTTTATTCATATTTAAGCAAGCAAAACATTTAGTGTGTTTTGATATAAGGAGTACCCAGGATAAAAAAATGTGTTCCAGCTTCTCCATTAGCTACCAAATTACCAAATTACTACCTTACTCTGTTTAAATGACCTGTATTTCTGAAGGATTATGCTTTTAAGAAATTATTGTTGAAAATCAAGTTAATCTTTAAAGAAAAACAGTCAGATGTCTTTATTGTTCTTCTCTTAAAAATAATGGATAGGAAATTCCTTGATGATGGTCTTGTTTTTTTTTTAAATTTCTGTCATTATATCAATCAGCCTAAAAAGTCTTTTTCATTTTTATATAGACTTCATGTCTAAATATCTTTGATATTTTATTTTATTTTATTTTATCTTATTTTATTTTATTTTATTTTATTTTTCAGGTTTTACACCCCCTGGTATGGATAGGTCATCTCCAGACAACAGTCCTGTCCATGGCCTGTTACGTCAACCCTCCATTACAACAGGAGCCAACATCCCTATTATAACAGAGCTAGGTAAGAGCATTTATCCTATCATGTATGTTTCCCTGTCTTTTTCCCACTTTCCTTCTTATGTGGCATCCAGAAAATTCCCTATACTGCATGTTACACTGCCATGTTTTCTGATAACTCCTTTGAATTGCTCTTTCCAAAGAAAGATTAGTAACAGCTGTTTCACTTTATTTGAACAATTGAAATATATTTCTCTCTTTCCTCTGTGTTTTCTCCATTTTCTTTAAACAAACTATCAGACAAGATGCTTTTTATCTAATGTAACAAATAAGCAGAGGTCTTTGGGATGAGGTTATAAAAAAAAACATCTCCAAAATACTCCATAGTAAGTATGAGCAGGCATTTCCTGTGCATTTAGTCAATAGTAAGAGGCTATTTGTTTATCTCTTCATGGTACAGAACTGTTTAATCATGTGTAACCAAACTCTGTATAACAGTATGAGATATTTTACCCCTGAGAATATGGTGGTGGTAGGTAACCAGGCTCTGATTTCCTCTCTGACTGTGGGTATTTATGTTGTCAAGTGGTGTGATGTGAAGTGCAGAAGCTGTTCTGCTTTTTCATGGCAAATACAAACTTGATTTGTGGTCCTTTGTCCTTTTATTTTCTTTTTCAGTTTTATTTTTTAGAGCCTTACCTGTCTTTTTCCCTTACTTTATTCTCTTTCTGTACTTTCTTTTCCCCCTAAATACTTTACTTATTAGCTAAGCCTGGCAAACTTCTGCCTTTGGTTTCAATCAGTCAGGAAAAAAACAGTGGAACCCACATACTAATGATAACTGAACTGGGTAAGAAGTGCCTTTTTCCTTCACATCACTGTCTTATTTTCCGTTGTTGTTGTTCTTACTGTCATCAGCTTTTTTTATTTATTTATCTGGCTGTATCAGAGGGGCTACCCTCATGGCACTGCTTTGAATGTGTTTTATTTGTGGTTCTGGTTGAAATTGACTGTCTTGTTCTGGCCTATCTTAATGATTTTTTTTTTCACGCAGCATCAGTAAACCTTTGATCACACTCGTCTGACCTGCCGGCTGTTTTCATAGCACCTCTCACCAATTCATTTTCTCTGGCCTGGGCTCCCACCTCCTGGGCCCCTCCTCCCCCTGCCAATTTTTCTCTCCTTTTCTCTCTCTTTCTCTTTCTCTCTGTTTGTTATTTCAGCCTATTGTCAATTTGGTGGACATGCCTTAGCGGTGCTCAGAGGAAGTCAAAGAAGAAGTAAAAGATATCAGAAATGAACCCCCAGTATCACACTTTCCCTTCAGCTATTTGTTTTTTGGGGGGAGTAGGCCATCTCTCTGAACCTTAGGTTTTGAAGCTGCAAAAAAAGCATTGAAGCTTCTGTGTTTTTCCCTCCCCATAAAGAGAGATTTCAGAAGCTTTTGTGAGCAGTGTTTGATTAGCATTTCCTGCGGTGCAGCAGCAGATGTCCAGGCCTACCTCACCCAGCCTGGAGACCTTTCATAGACATAGAAGCAGCTAACTTTCATCAGGCAGATAAAGATATTGGGGATAAAGCAGCACTCCCAGGATTCAGATTGGATTTGTAGTACTGTGGAAGCTGACACCATGCATAACTAGTAAGCAGGTGTCAAAGTCAGGTATTAGTCTGCCAGATGTAAATGGTAAAAGAATGCTACTGTCAATAGTGCCTGGTCACAGTGAGCAAATTAAACTAAGGCATGAGCTCTTAAAAAAGTACATTTTGAAATGATACATCAGGCTTTCAAATATTATTTTGCTCAAGAACCTGGAGGATAAATTGATAGCCATTATATAAAGAAAGGAATAGTGTAGATATTGGCATTTACTAGGGTGAAAGTTTTCAGCTCATAGAGCAGAACACTTCTCCATTTAAAATGCTGAGGAGTTATGTTTGCATGATTACATCTGGAAGAGGGAAGATACGGTTTTTAAATCCTACTTCATCTCTGGTCCTGATTTGCTGTATGAACATACCCAAGTGCTAGCTCAGCAAGAGAAAGATAGCAACGCTCATGCCTTTTAGAGGGGTATAACAAGCCTTTATCTGTAAATATTCATGTTTTGCTAGCAAACTGTGGCAAATTTGGTAGTATACACAGGCTGAGAAAGGAGTGGACAGAAAATGAAGCTACACAGGATGACCAGAATTGCAGACAGAATTCCTAAACTTAGAAGTCCAAAGCTAAAATCTGACCAATAGCAGCTGTCATGTTGATTTCTAAGCTCCCTGATTTGGATCAACAGATGGGCTCATGTAAGGATTAGGAGCATAGTCAAAGAATGCCATTGAAAATGCCAAAAACTTTTCTGAGTTTCCTTCCTTGCAGAGGACTTTAAATTAATTTGTCATTTAATAAGATAAATATTATTTCAGTGACATTGCTAAGCAGTCCATGCTTTCATGTGGAGGGCTAATATGGAAATTGAATACGTAATGAAATATTATTCACTTGATAAGTTGATGTCAAGGAAACAACTATTTTTAGTGGTATGAAGTAGAGGCACAGAGCTTAGCTGTGACAATAAAATGCCAGAGAAAGTCTAAATAACAAATATTACTTTGTGCTTTTCTCTAGAGCAGTCTGATATAGATCCTTTTTCACACTGGCTAATACAGAATTTGTGGAAGTGAGGTTATAGAGACAAATATTTGAGCAAAAGGCAGTGCTGCAACAGAATAGTTGGAATATTGTTCATTCATTCAGACAAATGCATGTTAAAGGGATAGTTTATCCTCTTTTGAGCTGTAAATGCATTAACACCAGTCCAGTAAGAATCACAGCAATACATCTAACAGATGCCTGTGGGCTAAATTAGAGTTTTATGGGCAGCCTCTATTTTAGAAAGAGGTTTTGACTTGGTGTCTTGTGATGACATTTCACTGTACATGCATGCATACAACCTTAGCCACTATACCTGACCAATACCAGGATTATTTCAGTATATAGAAGAGCTGTGTGTATCCCTTTTGTGTGCAGGCAGACATTGCCACAAGGCTACTTTTACAGCAAAGGGATAGTCAACTACCAAGAGCGAGAGTCACCTCTCATGAGCAGGATACCGATCAAAAGATTTTTATATGTAAATGCACATTTTCACATCCATCTTGATTTCATTTTCAGTGACGTCAAAGGCACAAGTCTGTGTTTCCAGACATAAGCTGTTCCTTTTTCTTTCTGACTGTGTAATATGTAAGGTCATATACTGGTGACCTAGAGGCACTTTATGATTGTATTATTATGATTATTGTTTTCAGTAAATGATTCAAATGTTCAGTTCTTGGACCAAGATGATGATGATGACCCAGACACAGAACTGTACCTCACACAGCCCTTTGCATGTGGAACCGCATTTGCTGTCAGCGTGCTGGACTCTCTCATGAGCGCAGTAAGTGAACAAAACCTTTTTTTTTTCCATCAGACTTATGGGGAAATAGTAAAAAATGTAATTCTTGTAGTGCAAATAGTCAGGAGAATATAGTTCCTAATGTCAAGAGAATTCCAGAACATTTACTAGAATTTTTTTCTGTTGGACCCAGAGACCTGCATCCAAAACAAAGAAGATACCTAGGACCACAATGAACCCACAGTTTTTAAAAGCAGTTTCCTATCCAATTTAAAGGGTAATAGTTTCCAAAAGTGTTGTATCTCCAAATTCAGTGCACTGGTCTATGCTCACTGTGCATAACACTGTGCAAAACAACCATATTTTAAACTTTTAATTTCTTCTAGCCCTCAGCAGTACTCTGGGTGCTGCAGGACACTGATACAACTGTACTAAATACAAAAGCCATTGTGCACACATCAAGTGGACTCTAGTTTTGTGAAGAGAGGTTGTAATCCCTTTTTCAAATGAGTTGTCATATGAATCAGGCCATAAGTGCATGCTGGACCCTACAGATGGTGGCATTTAGTAATGCCTACACCAGGGTTTTGGTTTGCAACTCTAGTACAGTTTCAAAGCAAACATCTTGGTCATATTCCTTTTCATCCTCCCTTGTTTCATATTGGCTTTTTTTCAGAACAGTTTTACTCTGTAAGCTACACTTCAGAGGAACCTTAAGCTCTGTTAGAAGTAGCAAGGACATATCCTTTTTAAAATCTGAGTATAGACTTTCTGAGCTCTCCCTGTAATACAGTTCCATGTTGCCAGCAATCATCTGTTGTAAACCTCACATAATATTAGAAATGAGCAGACTGATTTCTTTAAGAGCCAATTCTGACCTTCACCTAAATTCAGAATGAAGTTTTTTGCTTTTAAGAAAAATTCACAATGATCTTTGTTATTTGATATTTCATTCATATTACAAGTTTATATACCTATTTCATTTTTTTATTCTCTGCTATATTCCCTATACATTCCATCCACAGCTGAATAGTATCAGTCTACACTGATAAAATTTTATTCTAATGCAGAGTAGGAGTTTGCAGTAAACTCAGAAAATGCATTTTTTGAAAGTTATTGGCCATGTTTTGCAGACTTGACAAATTCAGAAAGCCTAAGCAAGCACATCTAAACTTTGTACCTTCTCTAATTAAAATCTCTATGAATAATATATTTATCATTTTCTCCTTGTAAATGGGAATAATTTAACATGAAGATTCCAAACTGTTATACTGAGTACTGTTTATCTACTCACATTATTATCTAAAGCAATGTCTCTGGATGAATTTTTCTGAAGGCCATTTCCAGGGTTGTATTAATTCTTCTGATCATGACTGGCACCCCCCCTAAAAGAAAGCAAAAGGTTATGGATGTCATTGCTTTCTTATGCAAAGATACATGATTTAGATAACAGAGATTCAATAAGAAAAATAGAGAACATTACTGTTTAGAATTTTTCCTCTGAACTTGTCACATAATCCTCACAACATTTTAAGTTCTTGCTGTCTTTCATAGACTTCTAGTTTTTGGTAACGTGTCCCTCCATTTCTGACATTTTTTTCTTCAACAGGCTTTTTTTCAAGCATTTTTCCTTTTAGGGGTCCTCCAAGTAATGGAGTGTTTCTCAGTCAAACTATTCTACTTGCATTGTATTATCTCATTGGTTTTTGTTTTGTTTGTTTTCTAGAGTATGCTTAGTTTTAGGAAATAATATCCATTTATTCTGCCTAGTTTCTACCCAGTAGTGGCAAAGTAAAATCAAAATCTGAAACCGTGAGATCAACAGTTGTTTTTTCATCCTATTAGTTACAGAGGAATTCTGTGCTGTAAGGAAATAATGCACCTCACGCTGTTCTTTGCCAGCTCATTTTGAGGGAAGAAAATAGTTCAATATTCAATCCACTTAGTGATTCAATTTTATTGTTACTTAATTTTTATAGCAAAGTTCCAACTTATGATCTCTGTTGTTATTTCAGCAATGTGAGTACCTCACATGGGCTAAAATACAAATGCACAATGGATTAACTGCTCCATTAAGAATGAATCGCTTTTTACGTTATTGGAGTTTTGTAGTAAAACAGCTATAAGAAAGATTAGATAATAGAATAAGATTAGACAGTGGAATAATATTCATGCATGCAGTATTCTTTCTGACTTCCAGACAACTTAAAAATTACATATGGAGGTTTATGCACAGAAAAAGAGGGGCAAAATAAGTACTGCACAGTAATCCTTTTGTATGGGCTTCTATGCCGAGTTGTATTCACAAGTCATATTGCTAAATATGGTACTTCAGTTAAACTATCAAGTCATTGAATATTAATTCAAAAGTGTTAAATGGCATTGATTATTCCTGTTTTTTTTTATAAATGTATTAATATAGGAATAGTGGATTAACAAATTTCAGAAAGTACGGTTACTTTCTGATTCAAATCTGAATACTGGAAGGCACTATCTTCTGCTGGTTTTGTGTTATTTCCTATAAAATGACAATACTGTACACTTCAAATTTGAAGTCATGTTATTTTCTTATTTGAAAGGTAAAAGGCTTAACAAAGTTCACTTTTCAAAAGACTGCCTACAGGCTATCTAGTTTGTCCTCTGCAGCAAAGGCAATATATTCCAAAGCCTATGTTTCACAGTGTGGTAGTTTGAAGATCGATCATTGCTCAGAAGATATTAATGAGCTCAAAAACTACAGTGTCCTTTCAATGATTTGGTAACAGAGGTCTCCTCAGGCTTCAGCAGAAGCGTATAAGTGTACTCTGTATGAAGTCTGCACGCATGGTTCATGTTTTAAGTGAACAGTGACTACTGTTAAATCATGCCAGCTAAGCATTATTGTCTCTCCAAAGAGGCATCTACTGCCATCAGTGACTTGAATGATATATGAATAATTGTAATGTCATAACACGTGCAAACCCAGTGAAAGAATATATGCAGTTTTTTAGCCTCGAGGTGAGGCCACTCCTGAAAAGCAAAGTCATCACCAAATTGAACATAATTGAAAATCATTAGATTAGAATGTATAAAAAAGATAGCTTAAGAAAAACAACGTTTGGTGGTTGTTTTTTTGTTTAGTTTTGTTTTTGTGAACTTTTTCCTTTTCTGGATGATAATGACATAGTTATTAGAGATAATCCTGCGCATGTGAACTAATTAGTTTTATAAATGCAGTACCTTTAAATATTTGCAATGTTGGCTTGAGATCCAAAGCTTGTCCATGTCTCCTTTTGGTCCTGAAGCTTACACCTACCAAATAGTGCCAGAGCCTAGAGGCAAGGATCTCCAGAAACAGACTGCAGTTTAACAACCGGTATTATAGAATTTTTTTCCTTGTGCTATTAGCTTGGGTCTTGCTTTTTCTTTTATATCACAATATCCTATTCCTTTAAAAAAAAACAAAAACAAAACAAAACAAAAAGCTTCACAGTGAAAGAGAATAACAGTTCAAAGCTACAAAGCTACTTTACAGTATATCTTGTATTCAAGAGTTCTCACTTCCTCAAGAGTTTCTCATAGTCTCGCATAGTCTCATTATGCAAAAAAGAAAGTGTTTTAATCTATGATATGGACATTTTGGAACACGAGTCTTGTGCAAGTCAGTAAACAGCATCTTAGCTCAAACTGCTCAAAACTTCTTTAAAGTTTGGACAATATTTTGGGAACCAATCCATTTTCAGACACTAAAACCCTGCTGTTACTTTTCTGCTCTTCATTCTATCTCAAACACGTTTGTCCTTAGTAGAAGTCCTTGATGTTGGCTTAGTCAGTCTTCATGTTTGCATGTAAATTATCTGTTTATCAGAATTCCTCCAGTTGGAAAAAGAAGTTAAAAAATTTATTTGAAAAAGATATTAAAAAACTGCATGCAGTGGAGGAGTTGCATTCTTAGAATGAACTCATTAAAAAAAAAAACAAACATGCTAGCAAACATAAAAAATGGCAGATATGGCTTGGAAAATGACAATTTCAGAGTAATTATAAATGAAAAGCAAAATGCCATTAAAGTTAAAGCAATGTTATTAAAAGATGTGCTAATTTTTTGTTAAATTTTCTGTGAAGGACCAATTAGTTGAAGAAACTTGACAGCCTCAACTGCAAAATATAAGCACTCTGGTAATTATACTTTAAAAAATAATTGAACAAAAAGGAAAGGGTCCCCAAATCATTGGAAAGAGCTACTCAACACTTCAGGCACATAGGCTAGGTGGCAGTGCTAGCTCAGATATCTGTGCCAGAATTTCCTTGTTATTTGCTCACTTTTAGTGTCTATGATGCATTTTCTTTTTTCTTTATTTAGCCTGTACCATGTCATATTCGCACTGTGGATGCTGATTACAGTGACACTATGCAGATGTTCATTATAGGCTAAAGTTAATGGCAGGAGCAAACAAATATATTTTCAGCTATGATTTAACAGCCAAGAAAAGTAATTCACTGCCATAACTGAAGAATGTCGTGTTGTACTTTAAGTACAGCAGCACCTTTCCAAAGTGATTCTGTAGAGTGTTTCCTTATAAGTACTGGCATATCCAGGCCATGTACCCTCCCACAGAGCAAGTACAAGATCACTCTCAAATTAATTTCAGTGTATTATTATTCCAAAGGAAATGGATATCAGCTAGTTCAGCTTTTCAGCGTTATAATCATAGAAATCATAGAATCATAGGAATGATTTGGATTGGAAAGGCAAACATGAAGATCAATGTTCCCCAATTCCAAACCGGCAAGAGGTTGTAAAGGGAGTATGATTTTTGTGACAATCAAAAGCAAAGAAAGATAGGATTTTCCTGAGGAGTGTTAAATCAAAGTACGGGAAGAAGCAACACTATTTAGCAAAAGATGCCAAGTTATCACTTCCTTTTCATCCATCCTTGCTTGGTTGCAGGTGGGCAGTTTATGGTCATCTGCAGTACTAACACTATCCATCCTGAAAGCTGGAATCTTTACACTCATTGACAGAAATTGAAGAAAACAATCATTTGGCTGCACTCATCCATCTGATTAAATGATGACATCCATATCAGTCATGGTCTGAAACCCAAATTAAGCCGTTGTTCAAAAATTAATGTTTCCTTCTTTGCTAATAAGTATCTTAGCTTTGCCTTAACATTTGTCTAGCAGTGGGAGGCCTTTGTTGCATGACAGCATTCTGCTATGTTGACAATAGGCTGGATTCTTTTCCCTTTTGCACCAGTTTCATTGCAGTTTATGGCTTTTAGAGTTGCTCATGGTTGGCATGTAAGTCAGAATTGGGCCCATCTTTTCTTAGTTGTAATGGACATTGGGGAGGTTAATTTTATTTTATTTTACTTTACTTACTTTTATTTTCATTTTCATTTTATTTAATTCCTATTAATAACTTTATGACAGGTACCTGCCTTGATACGTCACTTAAAATTTGTCTCTCATTTCACTGTTTAATATGAGATCTATGGTACAATGAGCAAAGTGGCCCCATTGTAATTTCTTAGTAGACCATTCTCTAGTGAGCTGTAACTGAGGGTAGTTGTGTACTTGCACAGTACAAAATGCAAATGATGTAAGGTTATATGTGTTTAAATCCTGGATTCTGGCTATAGAAGCTGTGATTTCCATTACAGAATAAAGAGAGAATGAGGTATAAGTCAGGAAATTTTGGTCTAATTATACCTATCTCCTTAAAGAGCATTAAAATCTTTAGTATGTCTTCAGACTTTTGCATGTTTTGCCAATCACTCCAAGTCACCAAGCTATGAAAATGTTATTTTACACAGATCAACAACTTTCACTCTTAGAGTAGCTGAACATTACTTGTTAGACTTGGCTACAGTGTAATGAGCTTATTAACCAGACTTGAAAAAAAGTCCACCTGTGGAACCATGTATTACTTTTTCTCCCTATATCATCTTGATTCATAGCAGTAAAACTAAAAATATTATTTTTGAATAAATTCTGTGAACAAGTATGATTTAAGTGCCATATAGAAGCATGTTTTTACTGATAGGTCTTTTCCAGTTTCTATTATACAATGTCTCCAACCTCTAGATCTGTCAGTGTATGTCTTTATATATATGAAGCTGGTGTCAAGAAACATTGCTGATTAAACTACAGGAGCTAAGGAATTATGCTAATTATTTTAATTCTGCCTGGTAAATAATATACACTGGCAAAGGCCAAGAAAAGAGACCAAACTTAATGCAGATCTGTCGATTCTGAGATTTTCTTATTTCTGGAAAAGTATAGCAAGTTGCCAAAAGAAAGCAGCTCCGATTCTTACCTCCATGAAATCAAGTAAGAAGTAATTAACTGAAGAATAAATAAACATTAATACCTGATTGTCTTACCTGTCACCACTGCAGTTCCCATTAAGCATCATATAATCATTCCAGACTTTCCTTCTTGCAAGGCGTCACAATGATTTTACTTTATGTTAAGAAAAGTTTGTGTTACCCTTGAATTATTACACATCTCATCCACACATGTATGAGCTGGTTTGAGATTAGCTGTTGTTTTAGAGTAATTCCTCCTGCTAGTATCAGACTACTGTCACAGTACACTTTGTATTTAAAAACATGTACTGCCATACTGAGGTTAAATTAAAATATATGGGAGCTGATATGATGCAAGTATTTGGTTTAGGTTTTGCATGATAATAATAGTATTTTCCTCTCATTTTAATTTTTGTCAACAGGTGAATGGCATATATGCCTATGTAAATAAGCAAAGAAGCAGCTTGAAGTTATGAAATTTCAATGTAACAGTGAAAAATGTTGCCACATAGCATTCATTTTCCCCTGTTTTATCTGTCAGCTCAAGTAAACAATAGAACTGAGGTTTCATTATGCAAAGAAAGAATATCAAAGCAACATGGATAGGGAGCCAGTTCTGTGTTTTGATCTCAGAATAAAACATTTCAACCTGTACCTCAGTTTACTGTGTGTTACAAACAATTGCATTATATTGGAAAAGGAATGAATTTCAATGAAAAGTGTTATTGAGGTTTTTGCACAACAAGCATTGTTTGAGAATGCAATATTCGTTTTCATGTTATCTGATTACATTTGGTCCAAGTCCTAAAATCAACAAAAGTCATAAATCTAATAATGTGAATCCCATGAATACTACAGTTAGCTCATTTTCTTTTCATATGCTGCACTTGGAAAGCTTCTGAAAACCCAGACATTGGTGTCATTGTAAATGATGGTGTCATGTTTTTCTGGTGATCATTATTTTTTGCCCAGTACATTGCACTGCAGATACTTAACTGTGTATCTCTACTATACTAGTATACTTTTAAGTGAACTTGAAAGTCATTCATGTGGCATTAAATTAATATTTAAAATGCTCATTGTTTGCCTGACAGACCAGCAATGCTACAGATGCTGGCAAAATGTCAGTGTGGAGTAAATCTTCCCTAATAAACCACACTTACCCTATACCCTAGAGTTTTTTAAAAGGACCACCAGGATCCCAAACTCATCATACATTTATCTGGAATGAACTCAAGATGTTTAATTGATACATGCTTATGTCTGAACACTGTCAAGTCTCGTAATAAGATGTTTAGTACAATACCTCAGTTAGACTGCTAGAGTCCAGCCACAGTAATAAGTAATGACATTTGCAGCACAAAGGCAGCTCCCCAACGAATTGGTGACAAGAGTAAAAAGGCAATCTAGCCTGTGTAAGCTTTAAATGTGGTCTGAATTTTACAATTACATGTCCTAAAGCCCATTATTAGACATGAAGGCAATGAGAAGGAGAGCAGTCATTGCATCACTACTAACACCAATTATAGGAAACATAAATCATTCAAATTTTTGTACTTTAATAAAAATCAACCAGAATTGGTGTTTAAAAGGAAGGATCTAGTATAGAAGCCTAATGGGATAGAATAAAATAGAGTAATTGGAGGCTGCTGTCTTTTCACTTTCTATATAAAATTATTTGAAGAGACAGCCAAGAACTTTAAACAGCAGAAACCCAGAAAAGTTGTAATTTGGATGTCTTCAGTTGTGACTTTAATGGTGTTTGCTTAAAGAGCTTTCTTTTATCTCTGCAGACATACTTCAATGACAATATCCTCACACTGATACGGACATTGGTAACAGGAGGAGCCACACCAGAGCTGGAAGCACTGATTGCCGAGGAAAATGCTTTGAGAGGAGGTTACAGCACGCCCCAGACACTTGCAAACAGGGACAGGTGTCGAGTTGCTCAGTTGGCTTTGTACGATGGGCCATTTGCAGACTTAGGGGTAAGAGCATGAGACACATGTAGGACCAAAGCTGGTATGGTCTATTTATTTTCTGTAGGAGTGAATTAAAAATCTATCGTAGTGCATGATTTCTGTTAGTTAGTTTGAAATAATAAAGCTTTTAGATGGCTTGACACTTTAATAGGTGGGGTGTCAGGTTTGCTCTTATTCTTTTTAAGATGTTATATGACTTGCTAGTCTACTTTCCTGAGTATTTCAAGCAGAGTGAAAAGTCCTATGGCTCTTGTTACTCATTTAAAGATATTCATGAGCTGACTTGGAGAAAATAACCATCCTGCTAATAATCCAGTCTATATATGAAAATATCTGTACCCTTATTGGGTTTTGATGAGTTTTTTTAGTCTCTGCATAGAGCTTTAATTTCTTCTAATACACTTATTGTCTGGCAAACAAAACTATAATGTTTTTTGTTTGTTTGTTTGTTTTTTTCTGAATGGACTAAAATACTTGTGAAATGCTAGTTTTCTGACACTTTCACTCAACTATCCTAAGAGGAAAATTAAAATTTTAAAGTAGAACATTTAAAAAAAATGACATGCTTGGATTAAGTAGTATTTAAAAATGTTTTCTGGGCCAGATCTTGTACTCTTCTTGAGAAACACCAGATTAAGAATTAAAGCCAATGAGAGCACACAGATGGAAGTAAAAAACCTGTCAATACCTGTAAAGCTCCATTCATAGTTGAGACTAGTAGCTCATCAAAACATATGGGCACTCAGAATCAAATAAAATGAAAAATACCAGTCCAACTGCTGCTTTGCCAGATCTTCAACTGCATTGTGTCAATGAACACTGAATGTACTGAACACTCACCATTACTTAAGAATCAATATTTTAAATATACAAATTATCAAATATAAATTAATGCTTTTGTTACTCAAAGCAATAATTTTATACTGCTTATGAAATAGGCATACTTATCATCACTATTTTAAAGTGGGAGATATGTAATTATTTAACTCTTCAGATCCCTTGTTTTGGTTGCTCTCCTCAGTGAGTTTGTCAAGATGATAACATGGCTGCTGCCTAAAAGGGTCACAAATACTAACAATTTTAAAACTATAATTTATGTAATTTGTAGAATTATGCATTCTTTAATACCAAAATTTGCATTTCCATCTTAAAACAGATCATTAACTTTTGCCAGTTTAGTAACTTTGCATGGATCTAGGCTCTCCAAAATAATGATCACTTGAAGTAATTACTTATTTGAAGTAAAACATTTAGTTTATTCATTTGCTTTCATAAAAGATTCTCATTTGTGACACAAACAGGTAGTCTATACATTGACATTTTGGTACAAACTCCTACTGAAAATCTACTTCTGTGTCACGGTTTTAAATAAAAGAGGGGAAAAAAAAACACAGCAACAGTGTTTCTTTTTTCTTTTTTTTATTTTTCTTTTTTTCTTCCTTTTTTTTTTTTTCTTTTTTTCTTTTCCTTTCCTAGGATGGAGGCTGTTATGGAGATCTATTTTGTAAAGCACTGAAAACATATAATATGCTTTGCTTTGGAATTTATCGATTAAGGGATGCTCATCTAAGTACTCCCAGCCAATGCACTAAACGGTAAGTGTGATCTTAGAACATCTCTCTCACTGTTCTTCATACTTCTGGATGAGGATATCCTAATGCCTGTAACAAATCTAAATAAGTAGATTTCTCCTTTTTTTTTTTTTATAATTTTGCAGCAAAAGCTAAATCTTTGAATACTTTGTGGTAACACTTTAGGGAATTGAAGTCATAGGTTTTATATAATCACCATTTCCTCCCATAAATGTAGATTCCTCTGTTAATAGACTGCATTTTAACTCTGGTAAAACTGAGGCTGAACTCAGTACTTTGAACAGAATGGATACATTTCAATCTTTGCAACCCAAAGGCTATTTGGCAGCTTACTTGAAATGTGCACCCACTAGAAATATGCACATAAACCCACATCAGAACTATCATAAGTATGCCATCCATTACTATTTCATTCTTTACAAAAAGCATTGGCTAGACATGGCAATAAACAATAAGCAACACTGCATCCCACTGAAGTGGTTTCATCCATAACAATTTTGATGGAATGTTTAGAAAAATGATTTTCAGTTTAGATTTACTCTGTACTTGCTTTATTTGGGATTATTAATTGAGTTAATAAGTGACTATAGTCTCTGAAGCAGTTAAACCAGATATCTTGCTAACATTGAATTTGAAAAGAATGTGTGTTTCAGAATTCTTACTCATTCCTTTCTTATAAAGAAAGTTCCAATTGCCTTATTCAAATACAACGCATTTATACACATAAAAGATTTTAGCAGTAAGATCTAAAAGCCTTTACTGTCTTTGAAAGAGGTTTGGTAGCAGGTGGGGGATCATTGAGGTTGACAAAGTTTTTATTTCAGGCCTGTATATGTATATTTATCAATATAGGATCCTTGTATTTTTCTTTGTCATGAAACTGTGGTCATGAAACTGACCATAGAGGTGAAATGAAAAAGGGAATTAACTTTACTTATTTTTCCTAACCTGTTTTATGTGTAGTGGTAATACGAGCAATACGAGTTGATACTATTATATTATATTTAAGTAAAATCCAGCTTTAAATGTTGTTTCTGGTAGGTATATTGTTTTTTTGTATCAGTTTACTAGAGGCAATGCATTCCAAAGCAGCTAGAGAAAGGAGGATAAGCTGTATGCTGTGCTCTCAGAAAAATCATGATGTGGCTTCCTTGGAGGACATCCTACTAACATGGAACATGTCTGTTCCACTAAGCAAACTTTCAGAGTGATATCTGACATAAGATGGCACTGAAAAAAGTGTAGTATTATGTGAACTGTAATCATGTACACATTCAAGAAACAGAAATCTTTATAAATGTTCATGGGATGTCCATCTCTAGAGGAAATTTTTGGTTGAAATTTAAACATTCTTCCCTCTTTCTTTGCAGTTATGTTATCACAAACCCACCGTATGAGTTTGAGCTTGTGCCGACAGACTTGATCTTCTGTTTGATGCAGTTCGACCACAACGCTGGCCAATCCCGGGCCAGTCTTTCTCATTCCTCCCATTCCTCCTATTCTTCCAGCAAGAAGAGCTCATCAGCTCACTCCATCCCATCAACAGCAAACCGACCGAACCGCACCAAGACCAGGGATTCCCGGGAAAAACAGAAGTATGTGCAGGAAGATAGACTTTGATATGTGTATCTGCTCCCACTGTGTGTGAAACTTGCATTCACCACCCATTCTCCCCAATTAATGTTTCCAACAGTAATGTTCCCTGTTTTCCCATGGAGCTCTCCCTTTTTGTACACATATTTTGCATATGTATGACAGTGTGCATGTGGTTGTCATTTTTATTTCACCACCATAAAACCCTTAAGCACAACAGCAACAAAGCAGACGGACCAAAAGTTATTTATAATACTAGGGGAGAAAAAAATCTAAAACCAATAGGCACACTGAAAACATAACTCACTGCAGTTACCTAGATATCAGAAAATAGATTATATTTAACATGAACACTTGTTTTTGGTGTTAGACTTACACAAAAAAAGTCATTTAGTGCAGAAGTGTTGATGTATTTTGCAGTAGGCTTTTATAACTGCATCTACAGGAGTTGATACATTTATATGAAGTTTATGAAATTCACCTATTGCCAAAAAAAAAAAAAAAAAAAAAAAAGCCCACAAAAACAATAGCACACCTACTGCTTTTTCACTAGCTAAGCTTAAATTATATAGCACTTGTGCTCTTTGTATAGGTTATTGTTAAGCACCTGCTGTATACCAAAGCAACATCAGGGACTTTTCTGCTTCTTTGAAGACTTTCTCTAAAATACTAGCATTTTGGAGTTAGTGTTTTTTTTCCCTTTAACATTGACATTGTCTGGGCATAGAGTTGTAAAACTCCAATCGTTTAATTTAAGTTTAGAAAGAGTCTAATTGCATATTAAATTATTATTCTGTCTATTTATACTGCCACATGAATAGCTATATTTTCTTTCACTTTTGACATTTGGGATAAAAAGCCATATGTATCATAAATATTGGATGTAAGTCATTAAAAATTGCCTTGCTGGGACTTTTACGTCTTTAAAAGGTGAATTAGTCACCTTATGTACAGAATAAATAATGTTCAGAAAAGAGCAAGCATTTTTCTATGCTTAAGTATCAGTTCCCAGGGGACTTTATTCCTTTCCCCAGATGGTAGTTTAACTTTTCAAAGGTAGAGTGGTGGTATAAATCTTCCAATGAGAGTCCTAATTTGCAAAGATCCTCCAGAAATCCCAAGCCATGTTTTAGCCAGTTCTTTTCAGCAGGTGTGCCAGTACATGGTAAGCAGGAATACGTGGGAGGACAACTGAGTGCCTTTAAGATCTGTGAGCTTCCTTCCCATTTGGGAAGAAAAGATGCTGTGCCAAAATGGCTAATGAATGAGCAGAACAAGAGAGCTGGGGTGGAAACAAACACTGTACTGAGGCATCATGTTCTAGGCACTTGTGTATTCTCACCAATGACTCACCCAGCCAAACAGCTTGTTGCAAGAAGTTACATAAAGTAGAGGAAATAAACCTATCCTAGGGAGCCACAAAAATGGTACTTGAGGCTTATTTTTAAATTTCAAATGCCAACCTTCTGAAATCTAGAAATAGTTCTAGGCTGTGTGAAGAAGTTCCCTGGGTGATGGGTAGGAAGGCTGGAAACTTGTACCACCTTCATTGTCTACCCAGCAAGAAAGCATGCAGAGAGAGAAAAAAAAAAAAAACTTGGATATGGGAGTGATTAGCATTGCATCTGCCAACCCAGACAAGGTGCTTTTATGGTTAGTGTTGTTTTTTACCTTCCCCTTCCCCAAGCATGGTAATTTTGAAGATTTGCTTGCTGTGTGAATTGACAATGAAGCCAAGCACTTTTACTGACAAAACTTGTAACCATATAAGTGGGCTACAGAGAGCCACTGCACAGTATTAAGCATAACAATTGGAATACAGTATATATGTGTGTGTGCATTCAAATGCAGCTGTGAGTCCTGTCAGTGAAATATGTTGCAAATTTTGGTTGCTCACCTACAAATCAATATATTACAGTTGCTTTTGATCATAAAGACAAATTCATGTTTTTCTTTTTGCAAAGAAAGTTACCGTGTTTTGCCCTGAGAATATTTATTTCTACAAGGATGTGCCAGTTAAAGTGCTCTACAGGAAATATGACAATTTAAAAGCATTGTAAAACTTACATAGCTTACTTCTTTTTCTAAAGTGCAACAAGGATGAATAGAATGGGCCAAGGTATGACAATTAATGGTTCTGCATGACCTAGCAACTGCTGTGGGTTTCCTTCTATAACTTTGTCCTTGTGAAAACTTGTGGAATTAAACAAAAAAGTAGTTAAAAACTTTATTCAGTTACTGGTTTGTTTGTTTCTTTGTTTGGTTGTTGTTTGTTTTTTTTTTTGCCTTTATTTTTCCCTCCAATCCAGAAGTAAAACTGGCTGCTGCTGCTGCTGCTGCTGTTGCTCAACCCTGTTTTATTTTTATCCTCTCATCAGCTTGCCTTTCTAATTGCACGTGTCCTCTTATAAACATCCAGGTTCCTACTCAATGAAGATGCCTATCCTAGTGCAGACATTAATTTCTCATTCCTCATTCCAGCTCCTTTCTTCCCCTCTTTTCTCTCCCATCCCTTGTGTATGTTCATGAGCATCTTTTTATGTTGGCAATATTAACTGAAGATAATGGAGAACAGTTATGCATTTTGGAAGAATGTTAATGGTTTTGACACCAAAATGCATTCCCATTAATGTTTTATCTGGTTTCCATTTAGTAGAGGAAGGAAGGGTGTTAATATGAAGCCAGTTGTCACCTACTAAATAATAATGATTTTATTAAAAAAATAGTAAATGTGCAGCTCAAATAGGAGACATATTAACAATCTGGATTACAGAAACAATTTGTCTTCTTTGTGAGCAAAAGAAGAATGCCTAATATGGGTGAAAATCTAAATTCTTTTGATCATTCTGAAATTTAATTTTCTTCTGTCTTCTGATCTTAAGTCTGCAGAATTAGTTCTTACTTTCAGTTATTCCATTCAATTTTCACATTAAATATAGTCATACAGTCCAACAGTTGTTTATTGAAGAGATGAAGATATTCTGATGTGGATATACTGATGAAATTGGAAGGCTGGTCATTAAATGTAGAGGATGTGGCACCTGGCACACCTACAAGATATTTGGCATGAGCTCCCACTGTTGGAGTCAGACATTTTCCATTCTCAAAGGTAGAATTTGTTTTGCAACCTAAAAAAGCAAAAAAATCAACAAAAGCAAGTCCCAAAATTTTAGCTGCCTAGGACCAAGCTAAAGGCTTTGACAGGGAGCAAGAATAATTTTTTCCTTCTCTTTTCCTGCAAATTACTTCCTACCTACCTCATATAAAATATTCATCTGCCAAACAAGACTTTTAAAGTAGGTGGAGAAACTTTTATTTTTCTAATCAAGGAAGAAATTGTGCAGCAGAATTTTTGGCTTAATTTTGAACAAGTGAGTTATTTGTGGGACAACCCAAATGCATCCCTTTCAGCCTCATTTGAAACTGGTGTCACGAAATAAAAGAATACGAATCCTTTTTTAAACAACTGTAAGGTAATCTGGGATTATGGTGAGAATACAGACTCAGTAAAATTTAGCATCATCTTTAGCTGGTACTTTCTTCACCTCTGCCCTATTCAGAAGGTTTTTCTCAGTGATATTTATTCAAATGTGGTTACTCAGGCCAGAATTTTTAAAGACAGGGAAAAAAAAAAAAAACAGCTGTTCGAGAGAACTGTGAGATTGTTATAGATGTATTGAACTAATCTTTTATTTTTAATTTTTGATTTATGCTTCAAGGAAGTCTTACACAAGTTATTAGTACTTTTTTTTTTTTGTGATGCAAGCCCTTAAGACCTCCATGAATGCTTTTGGGTGCTGACAACCCGTAACAAATACAAGTGTATGTCTGAGAAGAAGGTGATTGTTTTCTGCTTTGTGATACTTTTGAAGTTACTTAGACATTCCAAAGTCTCTCAACTGATGGTGTCAAAAGGAAATCTATCAAATAGGATAGAAGAATTTGTATCTCTCTTAAAGAGCTTTTATTTAAAATAAAAATAAAAATAAAAAAAAATTCAACAACAAAAAAAAACATTGAAAACTAGGCTTGTTCTCACTGTAACCTATGGTTAGGATCAGTATGCATGTGCCAAAAAGGAGAGAAACAGACAGGACGCAACAGAGGACTACCCACATTCTGGTGGATAAATCAATAACTGAAGTCTCGATTAAAAAAAAAAAAAGTCTAGACTTTTAAGGAAAAAGTGTTTTTGTAAGATGTGTAAAGATCTGTGCTAACACTGTAAACATAACAAAAAAGACTTAAAAGTGTGTAAGGGATTCAAGAAGAATATTTAGTAACTGGGAGCAGAATACATCAGATGGAAAGATGGAGAAAGTCACTCCTCCCATTTCAAAGGTAAGTATAGTGAGTAATGGACTTCCACAGCAGTTTCGTTATGTTATTAAAGATAATTTGGACAGTAGAAGAAGGACATGAGAAATGAAAAGCCGGGTTTAAGCATTGATACAGTAGATGGTAATGCCTGGATTAAGGTTTCAGTGCTCGCAAAAAGAAATTTAAAAAGCAAAAGAAGTCAAAGAAAATAATCTACAGGTTTCTGCATTTACTAATTATCTTCTGTATTTATTACTTGCCAGATGAAGGCATGAGGAGACTTGATGGTGTCAGTTTCTAAAGATCGGCTCCCTGGACATGAGTTTTATTGTAAAGATTAACATATAATTATCTTGTTCTGCAGTTCCAGGGAAAGCAGGGGCAAAGCAAGTGCTTTTCACTTGCTGCTGAACAGCATGCTGTTGCTCATCCTTAGCACCAGCACAGTTCTTTCCCTTCTTGCTCTGAGATTGCATGAATTTGCAGCAAGTTCTGTTTGTAAGGAAAATTTGTGTACTGTATGTTCAAAAAGAAGCTAGAGATAAAAGTTCACAGTGCTTAACTTGCCTCAAAATCATTTTAAACACAAACCATTAGAAAACTGTTAGTTTGAAATTGTTTATGTGATCTTGCAAGGCTTTTAAAACATGATAACCATCACACTTTACACCTCTCTGAAAGGTTAGTTTAATCGTAGATCACATAAAATTGGTTTTCACAAATGCATAATGGTTCATGTGTCACACTTGAACTAAATGGTTTTTTAAATGGAGCTGAAATTATTTTGATGTGTACACATTCCTAGATTTTTTTTCCTACAACCTTTCTTAAACCAGCTCCCATCAGGAGCCATTCCCTTAAAGTCTCATTAATAATTCAGATGTTCTGATGACTTTAAAAGATCTATGGAATTGAGGCTTTTTTTTTTTTTTTTTTTTTTTTAAACTGCTTGACAAAAAGATAAATGAATGTAGAAAGAAGCAGTAGGAGTCTGGCAAGCTGTAGATCATCTCTGAACAGATTGTAACTTTATCATTCTGTCAGGAAGAATAATTTAGAGCACTTAATCAGTTAGCTTCAGTGTGCAGGATGTAACATTATGAATTCCTATCGTCCAATCTGTTCAAATCAAAGGGAACTTAATTATAATAGGTAAGAGAGAGAGAGAGAGACATGGGAAAGAAAACATTGCTCAGACTCAGGCAACTTTAAGCAGGTAGGAAAATATTTACCTTCATCCAAAATGAGTCAGATATTTCCCAAAAAAGAAAATCATATTTTTAATAATGACAGGAAAACCAGTGCAGTCATTCTATTTCAGTAATCCCCATCAAATAATGATGATACAACTCCTTTCTATAATTTTTAAAAATTATTATAAATGCATAAGCACATATAACAAATATGTCAGTAAAAATAATGGATTAGCTTTCCTGAGTTAGGGGTTGGTTGCTGGGGTTGGAGTGTCATAAGTAGATGCTTAAAATCCACAGCAGGTAAAAGTGACTGAGTAAAGGGACTCTGGAAATTAATCCCCTTCTTCAGAGCCCTAACTTCACAGCTAGTTGCTTATTTTTACACATCTTTGCCTGGATAGTTGTCTCTTTCTGCTCTTCCAATTTCTGTTCTAAACTCTGCCTCCTGAGCTTGGTCTGAGATGAATTATTTTTTAATTTTTTTTATTTTTTAAATAAAGGAGCACCCCTCTCTTTCCCTGATTTGAGCCTTGAGATAGCAGCATTTCAGGGGTAAGCTGAAGTGCTAGTTTGTATTATGTAGTGAGACAGTGAAACTGCCAAAGCATTCTGAGTTTCCCACAGGGATGAGAAGTATTGCATAAATGTAAGCACAGCCACTCTGATGTAGCATACATTGAACATGGCATGTAACAATGAAAATGCCACAGCTGCAGAATCCTATCCCCAGCATCATTTGAACTCATTGCTCTGCACACCCACCTCTGGAAACTGGATAAGGAGAGAAAGAGAGATGGGTGAAGGAACACCCTGCTCACAATGTGTTAAAGAACAAGCACCTGATGACCATAAATTGCATGATGATGAGGAGTCTTTAAGTACTCAAAGTACTTAGATATCCTGCAAAGCTACATACCTGCCATTAAGGAATGACACCAGTGTTAGCACTGGCTTAAGGAAATCCTTTCTTTTTTTTGTGAATTTTGTGAAGCTTTTGTACATACCTGCATTATGAGCAATGCAGAACAGCGGCCATAATCCTATGCAGTGAGGGAGTGGCTGCAATGTTATAATTTCTCCTTCCTCCCAGCCTACCCCAGAGCACTGCCATAAAACTCTTCCCATGATGATGGAAACAGGCTCTGCGCAAACATACCGAAGGGCTGGTGGCCCCACTAATATCTTAGTAAACCCTTGCTTCCCATGCCTTGCTGTCATGTATCACAACTAATCTGTTCAGGATTGAGCCTTTACCACCTGCAGCACCAGGTAGATTGCATCCCCCTGTACAGGGCAAAAACCCACAGCCGGGCTGCTCAGTAACCATGTCAAACCCATGCCATGCCCTCTGGCACCAGGATCTGTGAGATGTCCTTCAGGTCTTCCTCTGCATGAGAGTGAACACCTCCAGGCTGAAACAGGACAGAGAAGCCCCCCAACTTTTGGGGTACTTCTCTGTATAGGACTCACAAGCTCTCTTCTGCACAACCTTTACCCCACCTGCTCTCCCTGGCTTCTCAGTTTAGCCTTTTATTTGTACTTATTGTATTTATTTTTTTTTCAATAAATGAATCAGAGGGCATTCACTTGAGCATGAAAACAAAAAGAACTCTCACAACAAGCAAACTGTCAGTTTTGTTTAACTTCTATCAAATGTGCAAATGTGTCATGCTCCATCCATAAAGACTATTTTCAGAGGTATTAATCTAATGCA